CTTAGTTTGGTCAAAAAGGGAGAACATTCTGAGACATCACTGCTTCGAAGGGAATTCTGGTGTCCACACCTGTCTGGATGATGCTTCAAGTCCCCTTGACATCTTTTCCAGCTTCTTCACCGAGGAGCTGTTGTAAAACATTGTTGACAAGATGAACCGGTAAGTATCACACCTTTTGTTTCTTGTTTTCTGATTTGAAAGTGCGGGAGCTTGCATTCTACTTGTCCTCTTTTGAACACATGTTTTACAATGTCCTTTTTCTTACAATTACAGTTGTGCCCAACAACATCCTCTTCGCACTTGAAGAGATGGGAGGACACAATGGTTCATAAGCTCTGGTCATACCTTAGCTTGTGGTTCCTCATGGGATGCAGTTAAATGATATTGCTTAAGGGACTTCTGGTCCACTGATCCCTTGATTTCTTTGGCTGTATACCTTGACCTCTCTGCTCCAGAGGATCCTCTGTGGAAGCTATGATTAGTGCTCATCATCTTGGACAACCACCTCCATTCAAATCTTTGTCCCAAACACGACTCATCACTGTGAAGAAGAGCTTTTGGGCCTTTAAAGGGCACCATCACACCCTGCAGTTCAACCTGAAGAAATGGGCAAAATGGGGCCTAAAGGTCTAAGAACTCTGCTCATCCGATGGTCCAGAGGTATGGTATACAGTGGCCTTCAAGATCCACCCGGGGTAAGATCATGGGGAATTCCCCACTAGCATGAAAGCCACCACCTGATGGAGAAGGAAGAGCTTTTCAACAAGGAATACGAGTTGCACACAGACAACTGGTATTCCTCCCCAGCTCTGCCTTTAGTAGGTGGACAAGCGTCCAGTGACAACTCTTTCCACTGCCAACACCAGCAAGGTCATCACCCAGGGGGGTGCCGTTATGCAACCAGATCCAAAAGGTTAATCTAAATAAGAACAAGAGTAATTATGATAATAAAACATAATTAGTGTGACTACCTGGATAATGACAAACATTATATATCAACCAATCAACTTCTAGGCTGTCAAAGCAGAGCACGGCTTCTTGGTAACTGAAAAATGGTGACTATGGCCAACAAACTTACGACAACTTGAAATGACTCTTACAAACCAAAACAATCCAATCTGACCCCCATAGAATATCACTTAAATATAATCCCTATAGAACTTGTGTCTCCCCTAAAACCAATATCTATCAAACCCAAAACTAAGGTAAATCAAGGAGCATCTAATCCACTTTACAAAATATATATAATTTTGGATCAGAAAAATAAGGGGGGGAGAAGATTCTGGATTCTTTCTCCGGTAAAAAAAATATAGGAAAAATAAAATAAAGGTAAAAAATTTCAGTCATAATAGAGGGATAATCAACTTTTATGAGTAACTGTAGTGTAATATATATATACATAAGAGACAGTTTAGGTTATTTCAATAGAAACATTTGTAGTAAGAGAGCTAAAGATTTTTTAAGCTTCCGTTTTCAACTGTATTTTGGATGTGCTTCAAAGTCTTCATATCTTTAAGAGGTTTTAATTCTTAGTGTAGTATTTTACAAACACTATTTTAAGCTTATCTGATTAGCCAAAACAGTTGCAAATCAAATAGGTCTGCATTACTTGCAACTTGCAAAAACAAATATGACATCAAACCAAGCATGCAATGAAACATAACTGACAGCAGATAAAGGATGCCTATAGATAGGAACCACACATACTATATATAGACACACAAAACACAAATCCAAAATATAAATTCACTGCATTAACAAGCACAGTAATCTAAAAACTTCTCGCCCAAACAACCGGGAACATGACCAACCCACCTGTGTCTGCGCCTGATGCCTACGTCTGGTGGCAGGGCGTATGTGGTGACTCTGGCAAGGCAGGAAGGGATCAAACTGGTTCATTCCCATCCCCGGTACATTCAAGGGTGTGACGTGCACGTGGGGTCGGTGAGTCACGCGAGTCTGGGTCACATTTGTGGTGCTCGTTCCGCTGTTGGTTCGAGAGACGGAACATTTCAATGAGGATGTACGGTTGTAGGAAAGGCATCATGACAATATCAATACTGTTTTATATATGAAGAGTACAGATAAATATAAATATATTATTTTCATTCTCATTAGGAAAAGGGTTAAGTACAACAGAACAAGAAAAGGATAAAAAGGACAAAAAATTAAATGCAAATATATACAAACATACACAAAGAAAAATAATCCACCACAAAAAGGGAAGACAAGTAACAAGAAATCTAAGTAATTACAGAGCATTATTATAAATCAAATTTCATCTTTTTATTTAATACCTGGCAATAAGTAAGACTGATAATGCAATCACAAAGAGAAATGATAAAGGTAATAAAAATTACCTCAAAATAGTCGGGAAGGAGAAGACTTCCACAGACCATCAGAAAAAATAGATGACATGAACCCCTTTTCTCCACCAACCATTATTTGAATAACAAAAACAAAATCCTCTAACTATTGATTCTAATGGTAATCAGGAACA